AGCTGGTTCGGCCGCAGATTATCAACATGGCCAGCCAGCAATGTCGCTCTTTATAGGCGCTGTTATTTAAGGTGGTCAATTCAACATCTCTATCAGCAGCCTTAATCAATCACCGACCTTGGCCACTCCAGAAACTGACAGATGAAATCCACCAAAAGGTACAAAAGACTAAAAGTATTCGACTCCGATTCAAAGTTAAAAACGCTTTGCTAGTTTGTTGAAAGCTTATAGGAGCTAATATTTTCAGAAACTCTTCACTTGTTAAACGTAAGCCTAACTTTATTTGATAGGGCCTAGTAATCTTTTTTGTCGAATGAACTCTCTTAAAAGTAAAATTTGGCCTGTTTGATATTGAAATTGAGTATTTTAAGCTTCTTGACAGCGTTGATTGGGTCTAAGGGAAGGGACGTTTTTCTTGAGGGGGGGGAAGGGGCCTGGGGCCTCAGAGGGGAGGGTGAAAGTGAGTGCCAAAAAAGGGGAGGGTCATACCTCTTTGTAAGGTATCCAAGGGGGGGGATACACACCTTTCCCAGAATTTTTTTAATGAGGATTTTTGTGAGGTTGCTTTCCATTTTTCTTACAGATTAAGTTTTTCTTTTCACCTACTTTGATTTAATTTGGTGTTTTATTATAGGTTCTAGGTTACATTTCTTCATGGATATTATGCCATGGCACACAGTTTTTTCCGAGGACTCGTGTCCTTTTCCGTCCGTATCGAGTCGTATTAGATTCAGGTATCGTTTTTTCAGCTTCTTGCCTCTGTTGACTATCCGTTGCCTGGTCTCCTAATTCATTTAGTTCTGAAGAGTTACTCCTATATCCAACAATGCGCTCTGCCCTGTCATTGTCACTGTCAGACTCTGAATTTGAGTCAGAAGCTGGCTAAATGTTGTTCTAACTTTCCTGCGCAATAGAAGTCAAAATCATACTGCCAATATGTGCCTTCACCACCCTCACTTTCTTATCTTTCTTTCCTTTAAATGCAAGATTCTGGTGATTTATATAAAGCTCAAGTTCACCAACTCTAAGGGATGACAACTGGCTTCTGTGATAGAGATCTTACCAGTCAATGTCATTGCATCCCTGTCGCTTTCTTCTGCACGCTTCCTGTCATTATCTGTTGGCCGCTTATCTTTCCTCATTTCAATTATGTCAGTTAGATGCGCACTATAATCTGCAACAAGCTTCTCTGAAACAATGTATTTTTTAGAAAACTCTTTGATTGCCTTTTTATCCCTTGCTTTGAGCTTACCCCTTGAACCATCTGTTTTATTTTAAGCTCGAGGCTGATAATCATCAGTTTTGCGGCCACTCGTAGGGGGTTTTCGTACTTGGTAGGTAGTGATAGTCAGGAAGTTTGCGGGATAGGGTCGTAGGGTTGGTGTAACTGGAGAAAGACTTACAAAGTCAGTTGTTCGACAGTATTCGCATAGCTCGCCGTATTTCTCTTTGCAAGACATTTTTCTGTACTCTGTATCTCAGTCCCCTTTCTCGCAGTGCTCCTCCTCGAAGCACGCTAGTTTAGCAAAATAGCCATGACCTGGAACATCTTCTTTTCTTGTGATACTGCTTCGTAAAATCGCGGTTATAGAAAATCATATCCTCTGACTTATCCACCGTCATTGCTGACATGTAACCCCGTGGTGCCGGGGTTACAGCAACCACGGACACGCAGGTGGCAGTTGTAAGGTAACAATGTGCCTGAAAATATCATTGGATTGCATAACCACAGATTTAAGTGCATTCTGGCCACGCGCAGTTTTAATGGGTTTCTCGGACAGTGCGCAAGGGCTAAGCATAACTATAGCCTATAAAAACAAAAGGGGTTGATAAGTTTACACTATTGTTTTTGTCATGTTGTATATCTTTAAGGTTTACAGAACTTGAAAAATGAAATGTTTCCTTTCAGAACCACTGGCAGCATTGTGATTCACATAAGAGGCAATTCTGGTCTATAAATAGACATATTTTGATGACGGCAATAGAACCATAGGTGTTAAGAAGAAAGTAACGGACTGGCGTGTCGTGCAATTAGCGCGCGCGCGCTGAGACATTTAACGTTAATCAGTCGTAAGCAAACGTTTGAACGTGTCCTTTAGTAGCATGTCGTAATGATGTGGGATATTGATGATGATGATGCCTCCCATCCTCCCTGATGATGCCGTAGAACGGCGAAAGCTCGAAGTGAATAACGAAAGAACCCACAGTCCTAGCCCAAGCACTTACGAATGATTTGTGAAATCTTGTTTGCTGGAAGTTGCACACCCGGTGAAGGAAAAATCGCGAGGGAAAACTGACTTCAATCCCGATTGTTAATGTCGTTGTCAAAAAAGATGAGAGTCACTACAGTGTTTCTTGTTGCCATCGTTCTTATTGCTACGGAGAAAGTACTCGAAACAAGAGGACGTGGTGGTGGGATATCCAATGTACCGGAGTTATGTCTCCATCTCGGAGCAAGGAGCTGTGAGGGTTACCTATGAGAGAGAAAGGCTGCTGGATGACAAAGGAAATTTGTGTTTGGATACATCAGCAGGGCGTCAGACTATGTAGGAAGGAATCAAAGACAACTTGGTTGACTTGCGAACCACAGTGAAGTACAAAAATGGAGAAACGAAAACACTACATGGAGTCAACAAAACAGTGTCCCTTGAAGACACCAAGGATCAAGGCGTCGAAGTCTCGCTCGATACAACACCTTGATTGTTACCGGAACAACTTGTAAGCAGGTGGAAAAGACCATTGAAGGTACGATGGTCATCTTGTACGAGACAAATCCGAACGGCTCAGGCCAACTTAGCATCGACAAAAAGCTACTATTTTCTTTAGTTACTTTGTTTTTGTTTATTAACACGTTTAGTTATTCTTAGTTAGTGTCCATGAAACATCTTTAAGCTTTTTCACTAGCTAGTAAGTGTGGTTGAAAATGAAAATATGCGGCCCACCATTTTCGCACAAGCTGGTGGTGTGATAGGACACGATTTACATTTAATTATTACAAGTATATTCTAGTTGTTTTTGGTGAAATGTCGTGATACCAATGGCATTTAATTCACAGTCGGTAAAAAGGTTTTCATTTTTCAAGCACCATTTACGTAGGAATTTAAAATTTTCCCAATAGAGACTGTGAAAACACGATGTGCAGGCGTGACAAAACACATGCACGATTTATATTCATGACGTTTAAGTTATTTTGCATGACGGAACCTCGAACAGCGAAACAAAGTAATGCGGTCTACTTCAACAGGAAGCTGCTTAATTCAAGGTCTTAAAAACCCCTAACAATAACTTTGTAGATCTTTATTTATGATCAAATGAGAAGATAGGTAATTGGATGCTAAGGCCTCTTATTCGAGTTTCAAAGCCGATGCACTTTGGTATAAATAATCATCATAGTTGTCATCATTTTCACCAATACCAAGCTAATAACAATGATGTTCCCTTATCTTGCTTTCTCTTGCGATTTAGGAACTATTGGAGGTTTTGGGTATTTTGTGTGTAAAGTTAGATTCATTCTTCATTTATGACCATTTACTACTACCTGTTCAAAATGTTAGTGACGAGAAACTTAAAACCTGCTGTCATTTAAGTAATTATAAAAATCATAAATATTTTTCCGAGTCAAGTTTCATTTCAGTGTTAAAATCATCATAGTTTTTTCGTCTTTACTGCTTGTAGACTCAATCATTGTCAGTTTAGCATTTTAAAGGGCTTTGACTGTAAGCTCCTTCTAATAAGTAATGTAGGAAAAGAGCACAGGTGTATGGGGAAGGTGAATAAATGAAAATATGCTGCAGCATTACATGAGTCAGCAAAGATTGTTGTCTCTGGCACTATGATAATGTTATGCATAAGCAGTGGGAATACGCAATTTGACAGTAAATACACTCTTTGTATGTAAAGACAGTTAATTTATTGCGCTCGTTAGCTAACGCAAGCAAATTAGAAAGTACGCTATTGATCTTTAACATCTGGTTCGTTATTTCTGGTAAGATTTATCCCACGAAAACAGGTTATTGCTAAGTTTACACTATAAATGTTTTATTTCCATTTTGGATATCTGTCAAGATTTACAGAACGTGAGAGAATTATAAGCATCTTTATCCTCAGTTCAGAGCTAATACAGTAAAATTACAAAAATTTACATTTATACAAATTTACTAAAGCGGAAGAATTTCCTTATCATCACATTCCTACAGATTCAAATAAATTTGATAACATTGCTGTAAGTCTTGTCCTGTTGACTTTAGCCACCAACTTGAACAGCTGATCTTCAGTCTAGTACTGTGGCACGTATTACATGTATTAACTGACGCTCTAGCGTTTCAGGTTGTTTATTATCATAGGTCAATCCACGCTCCAGTTCCTTGCTGACTCACTTCTTTCATATAACAGGAATGTCAACATACTAGTCTTAAATTTGTTGATTGTGAGTTTCTGGTCATTAAGCTGGAATTTGTTCAATCTAGGTAAAAACTTCCAATGCTTAACTGTTACCTGTATTATTATCATTAATTTATCATTGAATGAATCTATTCATTTGTTAACTTTTATTGAAGTACTGTAATCAAAACGTCTTAAAAATCATTTCAGTTGATAAACCTTTAAATATCGCAAATATTCTGATAAACTGCTGAAGATTGCAGCATGTTAAAGGAAAACGTTGTGGATTTAATACGTCGATGAGGTAGCCCTCAATCCATGATTTTGGCCTAGTTTTCATGTTGGCTAATTAAACCTTTCTTCGTCGCACAAGCCATAGCAACTGACTGGGCTGCTACATGGAATTATACATGTCCTGTATCTTTTTCATGCATGATTTATCAGATCTTGTTTGCGGAAGAAAGCAGCTCTCAGGACTCTGAGCCCTGTAGAATACGTCACCGCCTACGCACTTCACGGAACTGTTAGTTTTCCTTCGACCACGTACCTACCTTGTACATAAGTGATGATGATGTTATTCTTCCGTCGAGGGGTCTGAAAGAACCTGAAAAACGATAAGCAAAAATTAGCTTGACGCAATATAATTGATTGACAGATGTTCAAGTGATCACTCATTTGGTTGAGAGTTTGTAATAATACGGAGGATTAGTTTTGCTGATGCAGAGTAAGTGATTGAGACTGCATCACACACACTCAATTTTCACAAAGTTGGGAAGAGGAATTAACTTGAAACTCAGTTTTACTCGTCGTTGCTGTTAGCCAAGATGCGATTCGCTACAGTGTTGCTTGTTGCCGTCGTTTTCACAGTGATGGTGGAATTATCAGAAACAAGAGGACGTGGTGGTGGAGGTAGATCTGGAGGTTCCCGTGGCTCAAGAGGCTCCAGTCGATCGAGATCTAGGTCTGGAGGGTCCAGCTCAAAACCTAAAATCACCAAGAACACACCAATCAAAGCCACCTCAGTTCGCTCCCCGGTGATTGTCAAACAAACTAAACTGGGTTCGCGTTCAAGCACGTTCAAGAAAGTTGTCGTTGCCTACTTGGTGACCCGCTACGCGTTCAGCAGTGCCCCAGTCTATCGGCAGGGATATCCAATGTACCGGAGTTATGTCTCCATCCCGAAAGAAAGAGCAGTGAGGGTTACCTATGAGAGAGAAAGGCTGCTGGATGATAAAGGAGATTTGTGTTTGGATAGATCAGCAGGGAGTCAAACTATAAAGGAAGGAATCGACGACAACTTGGTTAACTTGACAACTACAGTGAAGTACAAAAACGGAGAAACGAAAACACTACACAGGGTCAACAAAACAGTGTCGCTGGAAGACGTCAAGGATCAAGACTTTGAAGTTGTAAGCCTCGCCACTTACAACATCACGATTGTGACGAGAACAACTTGTACACAGGTCGAGAAGACCGTCCAAGGTACGATGGTTACCATGTACGAGACAAATCCGAACGGCTCAAACAGGCTGAACATCAACAACATACTTCTCTCAGTTGTTATTATGTTGTTTGTGTTTATGAATTAACGTGTATTTCGTTATTGAATCAAGAGGGCTCATGTTTCGCTAGTATTAATATGTTCAGTGATAATGATAGTAATGAACATCAAAATAGCACTTTATTTGGCTTTTAGATTGCTGAAATCTCGAGCTTAGCTTGGAAAGTCCGTAACCGCTTTTTACACTTCCAAGTATTCATCCATATCAATTATTAACGACCCTCAAATGAGGATGTTCTAGAAATATAGGTTGTCTAAATTTGTATTTGGCTTGTTCTTGCTTCGATTTTAGTAATCACAATAAAAGTTTTATGACATGAAAACGATCTAATTCCGTATTTGTCGTTCATATGGACTCCCTTTTTGCGTAGTAAAGGGTTGACTTCTGACTGTGGGAGATTGACTTAAATAGGCACGATTGTTATGGATTATGTCATCAAGTACAAAGAGATGATCCATGTTTGAACAAAGCTTTAAAATTTCCAGGCATAGGCATTGAACAAGATCTGATATTTTGTTGCGACATAAGGCAGTTATGGAGCTCAAGCGAATGTTTGACGCGTGATATTCTGAACAGAAAGAACCCGGAAAAAAATGTCAAGCTTGTGAACATGCCAAAATTTGTTACCTAGATTCTTAGTCAACTTATGACTTTTCTGAAATTTTAGGGTACATCTGTCTTCCATGTAAAGAAACAAATATTTTAAAACATTTTAAAATAACACAATGGGCAAAATATTCCCCTCGATATTCATTGGCACGCTTCTTTACTAATTTTCTGCTGTCGTGCTTTGGTCCACGCAAGTCAGCGTGCGTTGAAAAACAATTACAAAAAAACAAAAAACAATGTTACAAAAAAATTTTGAAAACAATTTTTCGCACGTCTGCAATCGCAAGAATACAGAGAAAAGTTAAACATATTGATTTTAACACCGCAGTGGATATTGCTGACGCACTTTACGCACGTTTAACGTACGGAAAAACTCACGCGACATTGCAAATCCACCTTTATTAGAGAGGGAGGAGGAAAAGAGGAATACTCCTCAGTGCGTAGTGTTTGTAAAAGCATACACTACGCACTGAGGAACTACTAAGGATTATGAGGATTATCATCACTCGTATTTCCAAAGTTCTCACAAAATTTCCCAAGTCGCGAAGTGAGGAGGGAAATTTGTGGAACTTTGGTATATTTGTGAAACTATTTACGCGAGGCTACTTGCGATTACTTCTTAACGACATTAGGCCAAGCTTCCAGAAGAGTATTTCTTCTTAGACAACAATACCGGGAATTATTTCTCACTGGTTACAAATATTATGGCCTTCAAGCAGGTGCTCGTCATTAGATTAGATCAAAATAGGAGGGAAAAGTGTTGCAATTTTAAATTGATCTATATAAAAGAAAGCCTTATTTTACTAACTGCTGTAAATCTCTGAATATTAATTCGAGATAATTACTCAGTGCAAACCCTCTGAATAAAAATCGTCTCTCTTTGATGAGAAGAAATCCATTGGTCATACGATTTATCTAATTTGTGAAAATTACCGTATGATCAATCAGAAGCCTGAATAAGTGATACGCGATTTTATTCACAAAAGAGTTTTTCCCGCCTTTCGGGGCGGCCATGCGAAGTAATTGAGAGTGAATGTTTGGAACGTTCCCTGCTTGCCTGAAAACCAGCAAGTAAAATTGTCCTACTGTTTGTGTGAACTAAGTACAGGGAGAGCGCATGATGTAGAGAAACCGAACGTATCTCAAGTTTCTGAAGGTTTTCGACCGCAGTTCATTCAGCTAGTTCGGCCGCAGATTATCAACATGGCCAGCCATGTCGACATCTCTATCAGCAGCCTAAATCAATCACCGACCTTGGCCACTCCAGAAACTGACAGAGATAAAATTCACGAAAAGGTACAAAAGACTAAAAGTACTCCACTCCGATATATAGTAAAAATCGCTTTGCTAGTTTGTTGAAAGTTTATAAGAGCTGGTATTTTCAGAAACTCTTTAATTGTCAAACGTTAGCCTAAATTTCTTTGAACGGGCTTAGTAATCGTTTTTGTCGAATGAAATCTCTTAAAAGTGCAGTTTGGCCTTTTTAATCATATTCGGATGTACTATCCAATGTAGCGGAGTTATGTCTCCATCTCGGAGGATAGAGCTGTAAGGGTGACTTACGAGAGAGAAAGGCTGCTGGATGACAAAGGAAATTTGAGTTTGGATACATCAGCAGGGAGTCAGACTATGAAGGAAGGAATCAAAGACAACTTGGTTGACTTGAGAACCATTGTGAAGTACAAAAATGGAGAAACGAAAACACTACACGAGATTACCTCACAGTGTCTCTTGAAGACATCAGAAGACACCAAGAATCAAGGCTTCGAAGTTTTAAGTCTCGCTCGATGTTTGTGTTTATCAACACGTTTCGTTATTGGTAGTTAGTGCTCTTTCTAGCTGGTTAGTTTGGTTGATATGATTCCCACTGAACTAAATGTAAATATGCGGCCCGCCATTTTCGTACAGGCTGGTGATGTAGTAGGACACGATTTACATGTAAATGTTATAAATATATATTCTAGTTGTTTTTGGTGAAATGTCATGTTACCAATGGTATTTAATTCGAAGTCGGTGGAAGGGTTTTCATTTTTCAAGTACCATTCACGTAGGAATTTAAAATTTGTCTAATAAAGACTGGGCAAACACGATGTGCGCGCGTGACAAAACACATGCACGATTGATATTCATGACGTTTCAGCTATTTCCATGACGAAACCACGAACAGCGAAACAAAGTAATGCGGTCTACTTCACTAGGAAGCTGCTCAGTCCAAGGTCTTAATAACCCCCAAAAATAACTTTGAAGATCTTTCTTTATGATCAAATGGGAAGAAAGGTAATTGGATGTTAAGGCCTCTTACTCGAGTTTAAAAGCGGATGCGCTTTGTGGGAATGTCGCGCAATACAGATTTACTCTTTGTGTATCTTGGATTACCCATCTTTAAGTGACGCTATATGACAGTTATTTGGAGGAAATATACTTTACAAACATTACATTTTGATTTATCGAAGTTAGTAACAGTTCCAATAACAACAGAAATAAGATTGATATAGTAATTAAAGTTATAATACAATCAATAATAATAAAAAAATAATCATTATTGTTGTCATAATTTTGACCCGATCTTGCTTTCTCTTGTGATTCGATCAACAAAAATAGTATATTTTATGACTACTGGTTAGTTTCTATTTACTATTACATGGTTAAATTAGTTTAGGAACTATGGGAGGTTTTGGGTATTTTGTGTTAGATTCAATCTTCCTTTTTGACCATTTACTACCAACTGTTCAAAATATTAGTGACGAGAAACTTGAAACCTGCTTTAATTTAAGTTATTATAAAAAATATAAATATTGTTTCGAGTCAAGTTTCATTTCAATATGAAAATTATCATACTTTTTGCGTCTTTACTGCTCGTAGACTAAATCACTGTCAGTCTTGCATTTTAAAGGGCTTTGACTGTAAGCTCCTTCCAATGAGTAATGTAGGAAAAGAGCCCAGGTATACGTAAAAGGTGAACAAATGAAAATATGCTGCAGCATTATGTGAGTGAGCAAACATTGTTATCTCTGGGACTATGATATTGTTAAGCATAAGCAGCGGGGATACGCAATTTGACAGTAAATACAGTCTTTGTATGTAAAGACAGTTCATTTATTACGCTCGTTAACTAACGCAAGCAAATTAAAAAGTACGCTATTGATCTTCAATATCTGGTTCGTTATCTCCGGTGAGGTTTATCCCACAAAAACAGGTTATTGCTAAGTTTACACTATAAATGTTTTGTTTTCCATTTTGGATATCTGTCAAGATTTACAGAGCGTGAGAGAATTACAAGCTTCTTTATCCTTAGTTCAGAGCTAATACAGTAAAATTACAAAAATTTACATTTATGCAAATTTACTAAAGCGGAAGAATTTCTTTATCATCAATTTCCTCCAGATTCAAATAAATTTGATAACATTGCTGTGTAAGTCTTGTCCTGTTGACTTTAGCAGACCAACTTGAACAGCTGATCTTCACCTTGACGCAAATATAGAGCAAAACGTCTTAAAAATCATTTCAGTTGATAAACCTTTAAATATCGCAAATATTCTGATAAACTGCTGAAGTTTGCAGCTTGTTAAAAGAAGACGTTGTGGATTTAATACGTCGATGAGGTAGCCCTCAATCCATCATTTTGGCTTAATTTTCACGTTGGTTCATTAAACCTTTCTACGTGGCACAAGCCATAACAACTGACTGGGCTGCTACATGGAATTATACATCTCCTGTATCTTTTCATGCATGATTTATCAGATCTTGTTTGTGGAAGAAAGCAGCTCTTAGGACTCTGAGCCCTGTAGAATACGTCACCGCCTACGCACTTCACGGAACAGTTAGTTTTCCTGCGCCCACGTACATACCTTGCACATAAGTGATGATGATGTTATTCTTCCGTCGAGGGGTCTGAAAGAACCTGAAACAAGATAAGCAAAAATCCGCTTGACGCAATATAATTGATTGACAGATGTTCAAGTGATCACTCATTTGGTTGAGAGTTTGTATTAATACGGAGGATTAGTTTTCCTGATGCAGAGTAAGTGATTGAGACTGCATCACACGCACTCAATCTTCACAAAGTTGGAAAGAGGAATTAACTTGAAACTCAGTTTTACTCGTCGTTACTGTTAGCCAAGATGCGATTCGCTACAGTGTTGCTTGTTGCCATCGTTCTCACGGTGATGGTGGAATTATCAGAAACAAGAGGACGTGGTGGTGGAGGTAGATTTGGAGGCTCCCGTGGCTCCAGTCGATCGAGATCTAGGTCTGGAGGGTCCAGCTCAAAACCTAAAATCACCAAGAACACACCAATCAAAGCCACCTCAGTTCGCTCCCCGGTGATTGTCAAACAAACTAAACTGGGTTCGCGTTCAAGCACGTTCAAGAAAGTTGTCGTTGCCTACTTGGTGACCTACTACGCGTTCAGCAGTGCCCCAATCTATCGGCAGGGATATCCAATGTACCGGAGTTATGTCTCCATCCCGAAAGAAAGAGCAGTGAGGGTTACCTATGAGAGAGAAAGGCTGCTGGATGATAAAGGAAATTTGTGTTTGGATAGATCAGCAGGGAGTCAAACTATAAAGGAAGGAATCGACGACAACTTGGTTAACTTGACAACTACAGTGAAGTACAAAAACGGAGAAACGAAAACACTACACGGAGTCAATAAAACAGTGTCGCTGGAAGACGTCAAGGATCAAGACTTTAAAGTTGTAAGCCTCGCCACTTACAACATCACGATTGTGACGGGAACAACTTGTACACAGGTCGAGAATACCGTCGAAGGTACGATGGTTACCATGTACGAGACAAATCCGAACGGCTCGAACAGGCTGAACATCAACAACATACTTCTCTCAGTCGTTATTATGTTGTTTGTGTTTATGAATTAACGTGTATTTTGTTATTAAATCAAGAGGGCTCATTTTTCGCTAGTATTAATATGTTCAGTGATAATGATAGTAGTTAACTTCAAAATAGCACTTAATTAGATACTGTAATCTCGAGCTTAGCTTGGAGAGTCCGTAACCGCTTTTAACACTTCCAAGTTTTCATCCATATCAATTATTAACGACCCTCAAATGAGGACGTTGTCTAAATTTGTATTTGGCTTGTTCTTGCTTCGATTTTAGTAATTACAATAAAAGTTATATGACATGAAAACGATCTCATTTGGTATTTGTCGTTCATATTGATTCCCTTTTTGCGTAGTATAGGATTGACTTCTGACCGCGGGAGATTGACTTACATTGGCACGATTGTTGTGGATTATGCCATCGAGTGCAAAGAGATGATCCATGTTTCAACAAAGCTTTAAAATTTCCAAATTTTTTAAAAAGTATTGCGTTCGCATCAAAGAGCGGATATCCATAGGTAGCAAGAAAACTTCACGCGAACTGGAAGGAAAAAATTGATTAAGATCTGATATTTTGTTGCGAAACAAGGCAGTTATGGAGCTCAAGCGAATGTTTGCCGCGTGATATTCTGAACAGAAAGCACCCGGAAAAAAATGTCAAGATTGTGAACATGCCAAAATTTGTTACCTAAACTCCTACACCAGCTTATGAATTTTCTGAAAATTTGAGGTACATCTGTCTTCCATGTCAAGAAACAAGGCGATTTTTAAAATAACACAACAGGCAAAAGATTCCTCTTAATACTCATTAGCACGCTTTTATAGTGAATTTCTGCTGTCGTACTTTAGTCCACGCAAGTCAGCGTGCGTTGAAAAACAATTTTACAAAAAAATCTTGAAAGCAATTTTACGCACGGCTGCAATCGCATGAATACAGAGAAAAGTTACGCATATTGATTTTAACGTGGCAGTGAAATTGCTGAGGCACTTTACGCACGTTTAACGTACGGAAAAACTCACGCGACACTGCAAATCCACCTTTATTAGAGAGGGCGGAGGAAAAAGACGAACATTCCTCAGCGCGTAGTGAATGTAGTAGCATACAATACGCACTGAGGAACTACTAAAGATTAAAAGGATTATCATCACAAGTATTTCCAAAGTTCTCACAAAATTTCCCGAATCGCGAAGTGAGGAGGGAAATTTGTGGAACTTTGGTATATTTGTGAAATTATTTGCGCGAGGCTACTTGCGATTAATTCTTAATGACATTAGGCCAAGCTTCCTAGAGAGTATTCCGAAGCGCGGATTATGCTCGATGCTCTTCCACGAAGCCTGCTCATTATCGAAATAGGCGACAATCTACTGGTCAGAGGCTTGTCGATAGAACGAGGAGCTGTAGCCCTATCGTCTTCAACTTAGACAACAGACAACAGTGTCGGGAATTTCTTCTCACTGGTTACAAATATTATGGCCTGCAAGCAGGTGCTCGTCATTAGGGCCCAACTGATAGATCTTAATAGGGGCTTTTTTTTCGCACAGACTGGTGGTGTAATAGGACACGATTTACATGTAATTATTATAAAAATATATTCCAGTTGTTTTTGGTGAAATGTCATGTTACCAGTGGCATTTAATTCATAGTCGGTGAAAGGGTTTTCATTTTTCAAGTACCATTTACGTAGGAATTTAAAATTTTCCCAATAAAGACCGGGAAAACACGATGTGCGCGCGTGACAAAACACATGCATGATTGATATTCATGACGTTTAAGTTATTTTCCATGACGGAACCTCGAACAGGAAAACAAAGTAATGCGGTCTACTTCACTAGGTAGCTGCTCAGTCCAAGGTCTACATAACTCCCAAAAATAACTTTGTAGATCTTTCTTTGTGATCAAATGGGAAGAGAGGTAATTGGATGTTAAGGCCTCCTATTGGAGGTTTTGGGTGTTTTGTGTGTAAAGTTAGATTCATTCTTCATTTATGACCATTAACTACTACCTGTTCAAAATGTTAGTGCCATTTATGTAATTGGGAAAAATATAAATATTTTTCCGAGTAAAGTTTCATTTCAATGTGAATATTATCACACTTCATGCGTCTTTACTGCACATAGACTCAATTATTGCCAGTGTAGCATTTTAAATGACTTTGACTGTAAGCTCCTTCTATTGAGTAATGCAGGAAAGTGCACAGGCGTATGTGGAAGGTGAACAATTGAAAATATGCTGCAGCACTACATGAGTGAGCAAACATCATTGTCTCTGGCACTATGATAGTGTTATGCATAAGCGGCGGGAATACGAAATTTGTATGCAAAGACAGTTAATTTATTATGCTCGTTAGCTAACGCAAGCAAATTAAAAAGTACGCAATTGATCTTCGATATCTGTTACGTTATTTCTGCTAAGGTTTATCCCACAAAAACAGGTTATTACTAAGTTTACACTGTAAATGTTGTATTTTCATTTTGGATATCTGTCAAGATTTATAGAACGTGAGAGAATTACAGTCGTCTTTATCCTTAGTTCAGGGCCAATACAGTAGAATTACAAAAATTTGCATTTGAAATTAGTCCGGTCTCAATAGCCTTACTAAATCGAAAGAAATTCTTTATCTTAAAATTCCTACAGATTCAAAGAAATTGGATTATCTTTCTGCAGGTCTTGTCTTGTCAACTGTATGACACCAACTTGAACAGATGATCATCAGTTTAGTACTTTTCTGGTACGTATTACATGTATTCAGCTCCAGCGTTTCAGCTAGTTTATTATCATAGGTTTATCCACGCTCAAGTTCCTTGCTAACTCACTTCTTTATATCTAACAGGAATGTCGGCATGCTAGCCTTGAACTTATTGGTTGTAAGATTTCGGAGTTAAGATGGAATTTGTACGCAAGGGGGGCTTCAAAATCGAAACTGTTCAATCTAAGTAGAAACTTCCGATGCTTGATTAATTTATGATTAAATCAGTCCATTCATTTCTTAACTTTTGTTGAAGTGCTGTAATCATTGACTTTGTTAGTAAACATTTTATCTTGACGCAAATATAGAGCAAAACGTCTCAAAAACCATTTCAGTTGATAAACTTTTTAATATCGCAGACATTCCGATGAACCGCTGAAGTCTGCTGTATGTTAAAAGAAGACGTTGTGGAGTTAATATGTCGACGAGGTGAGCTTTCAATATTAGCCTAATTTTCACGTTGGCTAATAAAACCTTTCTTTGTGGCACAAGCCATAACAACTGACTGGGCTGCTACATCATATTATACATGTCTTTTACTTGTTTCAAGCATGATTTGTCAAATCTTGTTTGCGGAAGAAAGCAGCTCTTAGGATTTGAACCCACCTGTTGAATGCGTCACCGCCTACGCACTTCACGGAACAGTTATTTTCCTGGGTCCACACACCAAACTTGCATATAAGTATTGGAGAGATCGAAGAAGAGCTGACGTTTTCCCGAATCTCACAAAGATGCGATCAACCACGGTGTTTCTTGTCACCATCGTTCTTATCGCGATGGTGGAATTATCCGAAACAAGAGGGAGACTGGAGGTTTTAGAAGTTCCAGAACCAATAGAACGAAAGTAATAATAATTAAAGAAGGGTCGGTTGATAAAATCAAACCAGAACAAAAGATACTAAAAAGTACTAGCAAAGCTGACATTCCAAACATAAACAAACGAGGGGATAATGCTCGAAAAGTCTGCTTTTGAGCATTCTTGTGCAAACTCTTTACGGTGGCAAATTTGCATCATCATTATCTCCGTTGATAAAACCTAATTATCTCGTTATACCCCCCCCCCCTCCCCCCGCCGTCCCCCCTCACCCCAGTAATGCAGCACCGCAGTTTCTTTCGAAGCTTCCCTCTTTTATTCAAATAATTACGAAGCTTCTCAGCTCGAAGTCTTCGGAGCCTCTTAATGACATCTTTGGAGACTTTATGTGATAATCGAGCGAGAGGAAAGTAAATTTTATTTTTGAGCTTCTTAAGCGAATTTGATTATTTCATTACAACGAAGTGTGTAGTGAAATATCATGCGAGCTCTATCATATCACTTGCGCATATATTGCTCGTTACCAATCATTTTACGTTTTGCCGTAAAATCAAAGTTGGTCAGCGGTGTTCTTAGCTTCTACTCGCCTTTCTCCGTTTTTAGCAACATCGATTAACCTTTAAGACGCAGTCTCTCTAAAAGCGGTCCGGTGTGTTTCGGGTCGAAAAATCGATTTCTTTCAAACGTTGCCTAAGAATCTCCCTTAGTCTTTAAGTAATCGAACCACCTTGGTTTTTTTTTAAATATAGCAAAATAATTTTTTCCCGCGCAAAAATTGCTACAGCGCTCAAACGCCAGCTTTTAACAACACCGAATATCAAATATGACACATATTTCCAAGCTCGTCTTTTCATAAAATTCCAGTTCGAGGGTTTTGTTTTGCTTCGCAAATTTAGATCAACCTTTTATGAGAACAAACCTCATAAATTTGGTTTTTTTAACAATATTTTTTCACTGCAAATCTTTTTTTTGACACTTTCTTTGACGCTACCGCCATGACCGAAAATATGCAACTTTTCATCTCGGCTCAGCGCAAAATTCCAACTTCTTTCTCAGGATATTTCTATCCAGACTGACTAAAATAGGGGAGAAGAGCATGGAAATATAAAAACATGTTGTGGTTTCGGCGAACTTCTAGAATAGCTGGCCAACAAATTGCGTGCATTTTCGAAAATTCGACCTGACAATGCATATGGAGCAGTCTAAAAAATAAACGAAACTTATATGTTTGACGAGTGATTTGAGTCCATAAAAGCTTTTTTAAGACTCGCAATAGGATAAAACATCATTAAGTAAAGAAAAATCTTCATCTTCATCTAGAAAAATACAGCCGTCGAAAGTCGACTCTTGGCTTTAGGTGACCCATTGTTTTGACTACCACTCAATTAATATGGAAGGGGAAAAAACTTCAGAGGCAGGATAGCTATGACAGGTTCAGGTTTATTCAGAATAACACTGACGACGAGCCTGATGAGAATGAAGAGCTAGCTGAAGAGTATGCCTCGCTAACAGTGTCAAGTTTCAAAGTCGAAGTTTTCGTATTCGTGGTACTTAAAGTGAAGTCCTTTCCAGTTGATGTATTTGACATGAAATCAAATAATGTTTGACCAGGTGAACTAATTTATCTTAAGGTCCTTTCTTCTAAATTTATGAAACATCACAAAGTCGCCAGAAATAAAATATTGGATAAAAACCCCTCCAAAAAATGGTAAATTTTTTTCTAAGACGATAAGACTTCTGTGTACCGCCGTCAGGTCGCAAAGTAGTGTTGATAACTCGGTAACTTAACTCATGCGTTACTCAACGTCAGGTTTGTTAGTATTAACCACTGGCATACTGAACTATGTTATGGAAGTCCATTCTTGATAAACCACAAGTTTCCAAATAGTCGTTTACTATTAAAGATTTGGCCAGAACACGTAGTAAATCAACCAAGTAGAATAGTTCCAAAGACTAAAGAGTAGACGTGACTTGGTTTTTCTTTTTCCTGCAATTCGTTCCCGCGCCTGAAAGTGCACGGATGAGTTTTCTATGAATTAATTTTTTTTTCACACAACCTTAGGCAGTCCCAAACCCCATCTCAAAGAAGAAGGACATAATTATTTTATTCAGTATCCTTTTTCGGTCCTGGCGTTTCAGAAAGCTCAAATAAATGTAAATATTTTCAAGTCTTCATATTTTGCTCACTTCATCCGACTGTTCCTTCTGTAAGGTCTGCTACGCATAATCCAGAATCCAAATAATCCAAACCGTCACAAATGTCACTATTGACCAAACTTGATTTGGTATCTCTTAAGTTAGATGGGATTTCAGAACGCTTGCATATTTCTCCGAGCATCTTAACCTTGAAAATGAAAGTCTGTTTTCAAATGCCATTTCGCAAAGGTTGTAGACATCATACATCAATGGATGCTTGACACTAATTTCAGACTCTATGGCTACACTGGCTTTCTCGAGCATTTGTTCATCTGTTAGCGAGGCATACTCTTCAGCTAGCTCTTCATTCTCATCAGGCTCGTCGTCACCGCTGGAGGTTTCCTTGCCATCTGTTTGCTTTCTCTCCGCAGAGAGAGTCGCGAAAAAAATCTCTGAATTTGAAGCTTTGAAAGTCATTTCATTCTACTAAACATTTATGTTGTCGGTATTGCGAGCATTGCACATATCATTAGCTACTTGTGCAAGATCTTCCTTCCTTCCAGTTTTTTGACCAATGTCAAATTTTTTTTTTGTATGTACCCACGGACTTTCTCAGAAAAAGCGTGTTTGTCTGCCTTTGGCTTTGTGTAGAGCCCAACCCATTTGGAGTGAGTCTACTTCGGTTGTGGTTTCAGTTTGAACTTCTTTCTGGAGGCGAGACTTTCCTTTGAAATCCAGCGAAATGCTCTGGAAACGCTGAAGCCAATCGATTCGTAACTGGTCATACACGCCCCTCTGTACTGTCTTCACTGGGCTGTGACTTGCCGTCATACTTAGATGAGTTTCCAGCTCTGCACGACTAAGGAATTCCTTTGAGCACTGGGAATGGGGACATTCGAAAGTGCCACTGACATCGTCAGCTCTCCCATGGTAAGAGGTCGTCTTATACATCTCTCGTGCTGAGATTGCGAAAAATGGTTTTCCTTGCTGAGGCAGGTAGCTTCTTATGGACAAAGTATCATGTCATTCCATGCAATCAGCTTACCAGCTCCAAATATAAGGGCCTTCCACATTCAAAGTCCGCCAGGGGTAAACTCAAAATTGTGCAGAGCGCTAAAAATTGGGTATCTTCTCTAACATTAGAGTTATCTTCTTGTCGCTCATGCAGAATACTCATGCTGTCGTTCCTTGTACTGATCTTTCTTTTAGGGCAAGTCAGCGTACGTTGAAAAAGCAATTTTACAAAAAAATCTTGAAAGCAATTTTACGCACGTCTGCAATCGCAAGAATACAGAGAAAAGTTAAACATATATATTTTAACGCGGCAGTGGAAATTTCTGACGCGCTTTACGCACGTTTAACGTACGGAAAAACTCACGTGACACCGGAAATCCACCTTTATTAGAGAGGGAGGAGGAAAAAGACGAATATTCCTCAGTGCGTAGTGTTTGTAATAGCATACAATACGCACTGAGGAACTACTAAAGATTATAAGGATTATCATGACACGTATTTCCAAAGTTCTCACAAAATTTCCCAAGTCGCGAAGTGAGGAGGGAAACTTACGGAACTTTGGTATATTTGTGAAATTATTTGCGCGAGGCTACTTGCGATTACTTCTTAATGATATCTAGGCCAAGCTTCCAGAAGAGTATTCTGAAGCGCGGATTATGCTCGATGCTCTTCCACGAAGCCTGCTTATTATCGAAATAGGCGACAATCGACTGGTCGGAGGCTTGTCGATAGAACCGAGGAACTGTGGCCCTGTCGTCTTCAACTTTGTCCGACGTTTTATAAATTCACTTCTTGGACAATAGTACCGGGAATTTCTTCTCACTGGTTACAAATATTATGGCAGGTGCTCGTCATTAGGGCCCATGGATCTAAATAGGAGAAAAAGTGTTGTAATCTTAAATTGATCTATATAAAAGAAAGTATTATTTTACTAGCTGCTGTAAACTAAAAATATTAGTTCGTGATAATTGTTATATAAGTACTGAGATTTACTCAGTTCAAACCCGCAAAATAAAAATCGTTTCTCTTTGATGAGGAAAAATTCCATTGGTCATACGATTTTTGTAACTTATGAAAATTACCGTATGATCGATCAGAAGCCTGATACGCCTGATATTTTATTCACAAAAGAGAAAAATCGTGTCGGTTTTTCCCGCCTTTCGGGGCGGCCATGCGAAATAATTGAGACTGAATGTTTGGAACGTTCCTTGCCTGCCTGAAAATCAGCAGGTAAAAATGTTCCACAGTTTGTGTGAACTAAGAACAGGGAGAGCGCATGATGGAGAGAAACCGAACATATCTCAAGTTTGTGAACGTTTTTCGACCACAGTTCATTCAGCTAATTCGGCCGCAGATTATCAACATGGCCAGCAAGCAACGTCGCCCTTAACAGGCGGTGTTATTTAAGGTGGTCAATTCAACATCTCTATCAGCAGCCTTAATCAATCACCGACCTTTGCCACTCCAGATGCTATCAGAGAAAAAATCCACAAAAATGTACAAAAGACTAAAAGTGCTCGACTCCGATTCATAGCAAAAAACACTTCGCTAGAAAGTCTTCATTGTCAAACTAAGCCAAATTTCTTTGCACGGGCCTAGTAATCTTTTTTGTCGAACAAACTATTTTGAAAGTACAGTTTGGCTTTTTTAATCATATTGGAATTGAGGCTTCTAGTCGGTGAAAGGGTTTTCATTTTCAAGTACCATTTACGTAGGAATTTAAACT